GGTAATTGCCACTCGTTCAAAACATGCAAATAGAAAGTAAATGATGTATTGTTTCCTTACCTGAAACAAAGCAAACAATTTATTATTAACCGACTTCACTATTATTACAAACAACAAAAGTAAATAAAAAATTTACAAGAAAAAACGCAAAAACATATTTCTACTTTCAAAACTCTTATAATACAAAAATAACATTTATAAATAATAAATAAAAAAATCATAAAAATCAAAAAAGCATTAGCATCAAATGTTTGTTAATCTTGACTTATCCATACATAAAAAATACAAATTCTTTTTAGGATAACTCTAAAAACATTTCCAAACATTTTAAAAACGATTTCAACACAATCTGCTGATTGCTGTTAACTAGAAAAGATGCCTTGATGTCTTGATGCATTGAAAACATTGCAGTAATAACGTTGTACACTCACATGAGCCTCATTTCACTCCGGCTACTAAGTTTTATCTCTGAATATCTAGTTTTTCTATTCACGACCAAACGAGTAAAAGCAGCAAAGAAGCATCAATCATTTATTCATTTTCAGTGCGGCCGAGTTTTACTCACTGAGCCAATTACTACAATAGAAAACCAGTGGGTATGCGTACGTACAAGAAGCCTAATAATTGTGAATTGTAAACACACTACGTGTCCAGCCGGAACTAGATATAATCGATCATAAACTTATCGCTTAAAAAAGCGTTTGTAGCTCGTTGGCTTCTGTCTGTTTAAGTTAAGCGATGAGCAAACAACAACGGAATAAATTTAAATTTCCTCCTCTGCAGTTTAGAGAATAAAGTAGCTTCGAGCAGTTACTGTAATTTCGACTTTTCTCCATCATCGTGTACTGCTTATGCATATTTTGTACTCGATTTCATATCGCGTCGGATAAAATTACAAGTTATCTCAAAAAAACACACGCATAATGAGAAAACCCACATGGTATCATCATCAAATGATTCAACCACGCATTAATCGACACGAAAAAGAAAGAAATTTCTCTCTTGCAGGCGTGATAAATTTTTACCACACAATTATTTATTTATTTTAGATAAATTTCTAATTATCTATTGGCAAAACACTCAATTAGCGTAATTATTAAATCGTGAGACGCACGTTTAGCCTTTCTACACGGCTATTAATTAAACAAATTGCGATTGTTAGCGAGATATCAACAGTTATCAATTTCTGCAAACGCACGTTTATGTGCGCGTTGAAAGTCGTCGATGGATGCTAATAAAACTTCATAAACAGACACTTTATTGAAATACATGAGCGAAGAGATCTGCGCTCATGCGCGAAACAGCGCCGCAATTATTTATCATTATTATCAACTTTTCAGTGCGCGCGAAAAAAAGTGCTACTGTTACTTTTGCTCGCGATTATAACACGTGTCCCACACTAGATCGAATCGGTTAATATCAATTTGATGGCAATTTGCAAGCCGGCTGGTCAAGAAAAGTAAAACTTTCATATTCACCGGCGCACACACAACATAATGAGCCAATTAGAGCTCTTTATTAAATTTATTACCGACTACAAAGCAGTAAATGCACACAGGTGACATGTAAGAACATAAATCAACAAATAAAACCAGCTTATTGTTAATAATATACAAATTATACACAAATTACCCAAAAATTAAATATTTTGTTTTCTAAAACCCCTGTATGTGCTTTTAATTAAAAATTTAATGAGAATTTGGTGCGTCTCTAATAAAGCGTGCGTTTTATGGCAAATTCAATGCAAATTGCGTATAAATTGCAAATTGAAATGCAATTCGCAAACAAAGTAGGTACTATATATCCACCTCCGTGCAGGCAATACCTAATTAACTTTTTAGACGGTATTCAAGTAGCCACAGTGCACATTTTCCTGTTCTGCTTTGCCTGACCACATGCGTATTTAATTCACTTCTTCGCAGGCCTACAAATTGCCAATTGCGACGCAGTACTACAATTACAATCGGAGTTTTAAAGATAACCATCCTCGTCCGGCGATCTGATCTCATTCACGATGATAATTATGAGCACGTAATTAATGTTTAATGCTTGCTCATTAATTACGCCCAACGGTACTGCTACTCTACATCTAGTGTTCTATTTATAATTTTACAAGCTTAGGCTTTTGCCTGCCTACGTAGATTTTAATAAAATTGATTTTCGAACATATTAGGTGCTAAACACGTTAAAAATATTATTAATTTTAATTTAAAGAATTAAAATATGTTAAAAATGTATTTTAGCGCCATCTCCAGGCGAATTATTTAACTAAAACTATGAGAAAATTTCTGAAACAAATTTTATTTTTATTTTACACCCTAAACGTTAATACATTACAACAAAAAGTAGCCTATACCTTATTTTAGCAAATAATCTGTAATATCGCAAAGTTTCATCAAATTTGGTTCAGTATTATATGCGTGAAAGAGTAACAAACATACAAAATCTACTTTTCATACGCATTTTGAAAGTAACACTGTCATATGAATAGAATTTATGCCCAAAGATTGCAAACTTCGATACTATTGAAATTTCCACATCCATTTTGGGCACATTTTCCAATACTTCAGTAAATTTTCCGCAATTACCTCCCATGCATCGTTATAAATTTAGATTTATGCACCGAAATCAATTTGTGGCGGTGCTGTGTTTCCGCAAACTTTACATTCCCAGCGGAATGCATTTGCATGCACATTGCAACATTAATCCTGCACATGTCCTGTACACGCAAGCGAGTAAATAATGCGTGCACGCTTTGAGATTACGTAAACATTCAAACATTGACGTTTCACGTGTGCACCGTAATGAGATTCGTGTATTTAGAACGAGAGCAAGATGAAATGCGAGCGTAATAAAACGCGCACTTTCTTTTACTGCAAATACACGCCGAGTGGAAGTCGCATTTGATGCGCCGCATTAAAAGAACATTTCCGTTGGCTGCAGGAAAATAGAATTAATTTTAGAATAATGGGAAATTGTAGCGATGGAAAATTTACAACTAGTCAAATCCGATTTTACTTCTCCAACAATGAATATTTACGGTACCGTCTAATCCCATTCGTAATATCAAGTCATGCAAACGAAATGTGACTTGTGAATGTCACGAAGCCGTACACCGGAAATCTTACATTTTCAAGGATTTCTTAATGCAGTGAGACTTAATATCCGTCTACCCTCCCACGCTATATACAAAGTGTTACAAATGTGTATAATTAGTTGCTTAACATTCTATTATTAAATATGGTTATGTCTGTAATTTATATGCGTAACATATGCAACCCAACATACATAAAACATCATTTTTCTCAATTAACGCGCGCATATCTCAACAATGCGTATGATTAACCCAATATGAATCAATTTAAGCGCTGGGTTAGTGAACACATGCAAATTGTCGCTTGCGTCTTGTAATTCTTAACATAAGTCTTACTTCAGTTCATTTCCAGACTCTTCTCGTACATAGCACCAACACTAGCGCACATGTTCACGATTAGAATGTCGTTTCGTTCGTTTCGTTGCACGTTTTTTATCAACTAGAGATTAGATTCGCGTTCGTTGCACATTTTCGTTTGTTTTCGGCGTAGTGAAATGTGTGTAGGCATGCCGCACCTGTAGTTACTTACAAGCCCGGGAAGCGCGTTGCAGGAGACGCAAATAGCACACACAAATACACCGCCTGCATGCGCCAGACGGTGTCGCGAAGAAATGCTCTCACATAACCGGCGTGCAACCGCCCGAGTTACGATGCATCCAATGCAATGCAGTTCGTGCGCCGGTTGCATTTGCACGACGCGAGCGCGCCGCGAGTACTGAGTTCATGCGATGACTCGGGATGTGTACGTGCGTCTAAGCGTGGTGCAACGCGTCGGCGCGAGAAGATCAGCGCATCGGCGTAAGTCGCGGCGCAAAGACAACATTGCTGATAAAAATAGAACGCAAGACGGAAACAATCTATGTTTGTTTTATAGCGTGTCAAGTTTATACATGCGATGACTACGTTGAACAAAACTAGTTTTCTGTTATCATAATTCTTATCTTGAATTCCACAACATAAAACTACAATGTATTTGTTTAGATTTTTGTTGTAATGTTTTTACGTTTAAAACATAAATAAACTAAATTCCAGATCGATTTCTAGATTTATTGCATAAATAAACAGAAATTACTTAAAATTCCAATATTTCTTGAACTGAAATGAGATTTATTGATTTAAGTCGAATAAACAAATGAAAATTGAGTATATTTTTATTTAGACTGACCTAAATATTTGTTTATTCTTTTGTAAACTCACAAAGTAAGTAAATTTATGTGAAAAATATCTAAAATGTCGAAAATTTCCAATTTGCTTTTGCAAAATGCAATGTATGTCACTGCTGCATTAAATATTTGCTATTAAACTATAATTCAGTCATTACATAAATAGTAAATACTCATTAACCTCACCTTTTGTTATTATGTTAAGAATGTAATTATATTTATGAAATTGCACATTTCACTACAATAATATTTGAGTAGCATCGCATTGTGTATGTTGCAAACATACTTATCGTGTTTTACAACTGTAGTCTAAATTTTTCGACCTAAAAGTACCGCAATAAACCGCAAATCTGGCCTCCTTGCACGTTAATGTCTCTTAATTACTCATAGTTATTAATAATAGACGTGATATTAACAGTCATATGAAGTCATAATAGTTATACAAGGCATAAAACTATCTAAGAGATCATAAACCTGAAAAGTTTTGATGAGCGATGAAAATAAACATATGTTGCGGGTATTCATGGTAGGCAACCAAGTATGCATCAAATACAACCAGTCGCACACATTCACTAAAGTCAGCATTAATAGCATTTCTTAAGTAAATTCAGATTATAAACTGATAAATCTCCGCAATTTACTAATGATAAATACGAAATTTGTTTAAAAAGCTATAAATTTGCATTTTCTTGTAAATTCTACTACTTTTGAACGTTTTTAACGTAAGTGTAAGTAAATCTTACCTTATATTCATTGGCGATAGTCTCAATCTCCGTCTTGGACCACCTTCGCTTGAACGAAAGCGGTTGAAGTCGTTCATCCATATCGATTATCCAATTTTTCAGCGCTTTCACTTCTGCTTGCACATCTGAAACATGAAATGACTCAATATTACTCTTTCAAAACATATAAAACACAATAATTACCAATTGTATCATCCTTTTCCGAATCAGAAGTTTTCAGGACAGACTCCAATGCATCCCACTTTGAACTAAGCCGGCCGAGTCTCCACTTCACTTCATTCTTCGCCTCCGACAGCGAATATCGCATCATCAATTGCCCACCCTGCTCCTTGAAGATGTTATAAAACGGTCGCTTCTTTGTAAGTTTACCCTTACAATGCTACAAACAAAATCACAACAATTTAGACACTATAATGAGATGAACAAGATTTATCACCAAAGCACAGTGTGACAAGAGATGTGCATCTGAATTGAATTCATTACAATTTATGCATCGATAGAATTGAACAGAACATAAACCAACCAAGAAAATAAAACAAAAAGTAAAAACTATGAATGAATCAACATACAAAGTTGTTGTTGCAAGAACCTGAACCTTAGAATTTTGATTTGATGGTTAGTTATATTGCGTTACACAAAGCAGCACGTTACAGAACATTGAAATGCTGAAAAGCGAGTGTTTCGCACGCTCTTGGTCTGTAACATGCGCTTGCAGGCATAGTGGCGGCTTCGATTGTTCTCAGCATCTCAAAGTACACGCTGGCTGCGCCCCGCAGGCCAACTCACCGATCGCAGCGTCTTGTTGGTGACGTTATCTTCGTTGCCGTAAATCTTCTCCTGTATTCTATCCAGCCAGGAATAGAGCACGGAGAATTGGGCGTTGAATTCGTCCAGGGACCAGGTGTGACTACCGACGCTAAGCTCACAATTCGCATCCTAAAAACACAAAAAATCAGTTTTAGTAAATACAGGAAATTAATTTCTTAAATTTTATTTTACATTTTGATTTATTTCAGACTCTGCAACGAAAATAACTCGACAGCAATTTACCAGTATATCCTGTCCGGCTGGAGAGTAACGTCTCCACACGACAGGATGCGCACTTTGGTCGCACTTATTTATAAATCTCTCTAAGCAGCATCAAAGTGAAGAGATATCGCTAACAAGAAGTTCGTTGACGAATTTAATAGCCCTCGACTCGTTATAATCTACACGATAATGATTAAAATACAAACTCACTTGGCAATTATCAATCAACTGATTATCCATGATGTAATTATAGTTGGCAGCTAGTGCGGGCGACCAAAAGTCAGTCTGTTGCTCACTTGCGGAGCTGCCCCATGATAATCGCTTCAGTGACTCCTTTCGCTTCTTCTTCAGACTGTTAAACTCCGCCGGCCGGGTGGTCTTGTCCCCTGGCGTCGTGTGCAGCGACGAGAGCGAAAAACTTGACTTCATGGCGGAGTTTTCAAAGCCTAAAACATAAAAACCATCAGCATCTACACTTTTATACCACTTTACCATCAACTAGGAAAAGAATTAACCTTAATCACACTAAAATTAAGCTAAAACAATCGATTTAGATTTACATGCATGTTCAATTCGTAGGAAACATGTGGCATTTAATTAATGCACGTGTAATGATTGCATTCGCACGTAGAAACGGTGAATCGCCCACGTATCGATGCGACTAGCATCGATAGAGCCAATTGTTTCACATGATTGTCTGTGCAAGCGGCGATTATTTAATCTTCATGCACACCGCGCGCGTTTTCTAAACCTGTACTACCTGTGTGCATGTATGTAGCATATTTGTGTGTATCCTGTATTACTTTATACTTGCTAGTTTTAAGAAACATAAACACATAATCATAAACATCAAACACCCATGGACTATAATCAAAATTATCTTTACAATGTATCTATTGATTGATTTTATCACTAATTGTTTGTATCTAAACGGTTATTAATAAATAATGTATAGGTAATGTAAAATATTCAGGTTTGGCATGTGGTCAATGTGTTTTTTGTTTAAAAATAGCCAAAACATAAGAATTAACGGTAAATTTAAGTATTACAAGCAGGAAACCATTAAAAATTGGCAAAACATAAAATATTTAGTGTTAATTTTAGTACAGTTTATAAATTGGACACACTGAACACCGAAACCTATAATAGAATGGATTTTGCCTTATAAGTTAATAGAAATTAAATAATTTGTTCACTTTTCAAAGTTTACATACGATTCACCGAATATTTGCATAAATAGAAATGGCAATAAACCTATTTCATTAAAGACCCAAAAATCCCAATTCGAAGAAAAAAACATGCTTACATGTCTTCAGCTTTATGACTTATTGTTCGCCGGTTGAAAAAGTGCGAAAGCGGAAATGCAAAACTAATCACGTCGTGTTTTACGAGTTTTCGTGAAGCCGATGACGGCGAAAAAACGCGCCGCTCGAAGATAACAAACAATCGCATACAACACACATACTCATATCTGCAGACTAAGCACCTCAACGTGCTGTGTGCTTATGATTTTTCGAGTACCAATATGAACAACATGGGCACATAATCCACACCACAACAATTCGCCGCCTGCGAATTGGAAAGTAATGTAAATCTTCGCCAGTCGTTAATTTCCCTTGTTTATCGGCCACGATTTCATTGCAATGTCGTTAATTTCTCAATAAAGACGCCAAAAACGACAAAGTAAATTTGACCAGAATATCAAATGATAACACAAGTAAAATTTTGAATATTTTGAGTGTTTTTGCGTTGATTTCCCACTCGGCGCTGAGAAATTGGCCGAGTAAATGACAAGTCAAAGTGTAAACTTATATTTAACGACTTGGAGACTCGGAGAAGTCGGCGAAGAGCGTGGAAAATTGAAGATCAACCACGGCGAGCGCAGCGCAGGACGTATTTATGCACTTTACTTAAATAGACAGTTTTATTTATAGCCGCGGCATCGCGGCTTCGGGCCATCGACGGTTTTTACGCTCGCGACCAAGGCGGGCGCGACGTTTTGTTCTCTTTGCAACCTTCTCCGGGATGCGCCACAAAGGTAACACTCTCTAGGTAGAAGATGCACACAGATCTTTTCTTAGAATCAAAAATTGTCGACCGACTGCAAGTCGTAAAACCGCAGTCGACATGAAATTCAGGGCGTAAATGTTGAGAAAGAAGCTAAAACTTGAAGCAACTTCATCTACCGCAATGCGAAATTAGGCCTGCATTCGTCTAATAAGAGCCTGCTTTGCATTTTTATGTCTTCATTTCGCCATCTTGATTCAACAATCGTTTATGGCTCTTAAACCAGCTGAATCAGGCAAAACGACTTCATTGAATGAAATCGAGCCGGAATGTTGTAAAATCTTGTAAACTATCCCTGATATTTGCATTTTCATGCGTCGCGGCCATCTTGATGTCGCCAAACATAAAATCTAATGAAGCAAACAGATGCGACGATGCAAACAAACAAGCGACGAATCGCATGCCTAGAATTCTTGAGTAAATCTATGTTTAGAGCAGGCGAGCGACACGGGCAAGTTCATTAATTTCATTACTAAACGTGAAGAGCTGCGTGCAAGGTGCTGAAAATGCACTTGTACTGATGTACCGTTATCAACACAAGAGGAAAGTGTATACAGACGTACAACAGGATCGAAAACATTGATTCTTGATTGAATTTACCAACAAACAAAAGGAAACAATCAATTTCATAGATATAAATCACCGCTAGATGTCACCATTGATGAGAATAGCAAAAAACGCGGGGAGAAATCTCAAGAAGTGCAATAAAATGAAATGCAATGCAAATCCGTAAATCCGAAAACGTGACACGCACGCCGCCGCGATTAGGACTAATGATGGAAAGGTGTGAAAATCGCCACACATGACTCTGCACTTTATCCGCACGACGCTCAGTTCTCTCACAGACGCACAATATTTCGCAACTTATTTATCTGCAATCATGCAACGCCATTGGACATCTGTGCAAACATTAAATTGTTTTTTAAACCAATACGAATAAAATCAATTTATCGCCATCTTTGGTTTTAATTTTAATGTCGTAACTTTTTTTTTACTTCTCTACAACTACAACTAGTTTTTGATGTCATCTCATAATTTAATAGGCGAAAGCAAGTAGGTGTCGAAGTTGTACGCTACACAAATACAAGCTGATTGAGTACAACTCGCAGTTCATGAGAAATATGCGACCGCTGCATAGATATTCATCGCATTAGAAGAAAATCGGAATTAGAGTTCAGGAATCGTTATCGTGGCGAAGAAGTGTTGTGAAATCCGGCCGCATGCTGAGTGATACTCGTACGACACAATGCGATGCAATTTATTAGAAAAACTAATTTAATGAGCGCTCGCGCGCGCACTGCTGCCACAAAGAGCAAACAGAGAGCTAAAAACATCAACAAACACAACGCGTATACCATTCGCTTCAATAGGTTAAGAGGATGACTATTAATAAATATTTACAGGCGTGCTTTTTATCGTGATGATACATATATGGCAAACGATTAGTTTTAGTGATTTATTAAACGGAAACATGTATAATGCCGACGCGCATGCGCACTACCCAAGTGGGCGGAGCACCCAAACATAAAATTCTTGTTTTAACTCATTTTTAACACAAAATAATTAATTTTTTCTACTTACTTGTTGATGGCATTATGAAAATTTAATTTATTCCTTCTTCTTGCTTCTTCACACTGTTTAATCTTCAGTCTTCATCCGTTACATGTCAGCCGCACTCATTGTGTACATTTCTGCAACATAAACAATTATTAATTATAAAATAACAATCATCTTAAAATAGATTTCTATACAGATTTAATTATCATTCTCATGTTTTTCGCATTGTATAGGGCACCTATAAATATTAATTTATTTATTTCCAATGTGTGCAAGTAGAACTTTAGCACTTTATGACTCTTGACGAGAATGACGTTTACGATTGTGAGTTTTTTCCACCTTTCGAGTAAGTACCACAGCATTGCCATATCGAGTTAATGTTTTTTAATTTAATATTTATCGCAGCGCTTATATTTTAAGATCGACATTTCTAGCGCCGGCTTTGACGAGACGTCTCAGTCTCACATTTAACAATCCGAACAATCAGCATTATTCAGCGCTCCGCATGCGGTGCTGCGCATAGTAATAATTCGAATATGAATGCGAATCAGTAAATGCAAATTGCATACACGTACACAAGAATAATACAGTAATAAGAAAGAGACTGCGGACGCATAGAGACGCGGGAGACTCGACTTGTCATAAAGTTTAATAAAACGCAATTAGCATGTCTCTGCGTTCGGAGTCACGCCGTTTAATTGCGCGGGTAAAGTGCCTTCAGCTAACACTCACACTGGAATTACATGAAACAAAAAGGCAGAAAGAGAAAATAACAATGGCACATGACTTGTATCTAGAATGCGCATGCGTACTAGTTAATCAAACAGGGTTAAGTCAAGTGGGCGGAGCTCCCAAGTTAAAATAAATCAATTTTTCGCGAAAATTTTAGGTTTTAAATGAAATAATTAAAAATTTCTATTAAATAGCTAAAAAAAAGTTAATGAATCATTGTCTTCTGTTTTAAAATGAATAAAATCGTAACCTAGGGTAATTTAAGTAATTGAAGCTGTTAATTAAAAACTCCAAAACAAGAGCTGTGACTTATTTAGTCAATTTCAGCATTGGTGTTAAGGTGTTAAAAAGGATATTAAACTTAAGTATAATGAGTTAAAATACGTTAATTGCATTTCTTAACGCGAAAATTACAAATATGAAAATAGGTATACTAGAGTCCATATAACAGTAAAAATCAAATATTCTACTTTATCTACCTACCAATGCTTTGACTTGCTGTATAAGTACCGAACATATGAATATCTGTAAATTATTTCATTGCTATTTCATGTAACGGTTAAATAATAGATTATTTTAGCTGCCAAGGTGAAAAACCATAAAATTTTTAATTACACATATTTTAACACTTGTAAAATGTTTTGCGTTTTATTTCAATTTTTTCATTTATTTAATCATCATAAATGAATGAATTCATGCCCGCAAGCAGTCCACACATCGTGAATGGGTCGCGTCTCGTGTGTTCATTCAGTCTTTCTGCAGTCAATCTCATTCACATATCCACATTCTTTTCACCATTTTCAAACATGAAACATAACACACATCATAACATTTAACATGCATCAAACATCTCTCGACATACATACATGGCGGCGGCGGCATCATCAAAATGCATTGCATTTCATATTTATGTAACTTGGCGCTGTAATTGATTTATACCGTTATTATTAGTTATTGTGCGGCGATGTGGCGAGAGAAAGAGCACTCTCGACCACTCGACACCTCAAAAACCATCAACATGTAGGAAAACGCTTAATTAAGCTTAATGATGATGGCGATGCGATGAATATACCTATGAACACCATCGTGTAATGGTTTCATTTTATTTTGTTTTCATCTGTTGCGCGTTAATTAATTCATTTTTGGAGTGAAAAAAATATTATGTGAGAAGTAGAATTAGAAAATTAGAGAATGAGGTAAATTATTATGCACATGATTGCTTATTTAATGATTATTTACATTTAATAACTAAATTTTAGTAGTTTTTCTTTAAAATATAATAAAAATTCTAGGAGCTCCGCCCTCATGGCTAAAGCTACTGCGCATTAAAAAAGTTACGCCCACAAAACTGAAATTATTATTATTTCACTCTGATTTAACCTTTTCTAATATCATAATTCAATAATTTCTTTATTTCCGCCTTGCGCTCGCTTTAAAATCACTTGCGAGTTATTACGCCGGCGTCGCAGCGTGTGTCGGCAGTATGTCTTTGATAATTTACGTTTCAGAACTCGGAGCGAAACAAATGTATCATTATTACTTCTTCTCTGCTCCGCGTGCATTTTCCATTGCCGCCGCCGCATGCTATGGGTACGTCCGCCATTATACGGTAATCGAAGCGGCGTGACAGTTCGCCCATAATTGCATCTTGTTACTCTTTTTATTGATTTATTACGCTGTGCTACACATACAAGCACATGGAATAAAATAGACAGAAGATGCAAGTCGAGGCAGAGGTAAATTCTTCAATTGAGTTGAGGAAATTGAAGCATTCGGTAATAATTTAAGTGCAAAGTGCAATAATGTCGTAAATAATGCAATTTGTAATGAGTGCAATGAATGCAATGATGCGTTCATTAAAAAATTATTATTTAATAGATATATCTTATCCACTTAGCTAACTTAAAATCGTATTTCATTTAACTCATACATATTCTATAATATAAAAATGATTCACAAAATCTGTTGGTAAGCGCATAACTCAACAACGCCTTGACCAATTTGGCTAACTCTTTTTTTAAATGTTCGTTAAAGTCCAAGGATGGTTTTTACGGCGAGAAAAATTCGAATAATTGCCAGAAAACCCATAAAAAGCCCTTTTCAATATGATAAAATTTGGCATTGAGATTCAATCATAGTTATACTTAAATAGTTGAATCCGAGATGGCGCGCTGCAGGGCAATAATAGCAATTCTTTATATAAATAATTTCTTTAAAATAAAATTGCGAATCTTATTGATAGAATTGACACATAATATGTCTAGAACAAGATAGTAAAAAGGAATTACATTTTTATTAAACACTACCGGAACGAAATCGCGGACAAAAACTAGTAATCTATATTTTAACCTTTAAAAGCTGTCTAAACATAATACTAATAATTATATGACGTTAAAATTGAGTAAACTTAAGTTAAGTAATAGGTAATTGTAGACAATTTCCAAACTGGAAATGCATCATATATAATGATATATTACAATTACCTACTGCATCCTTTTTTTTCTGCTTTTATTTTCATTCCGAATTGATTACCGGAACACACGTCGTTGGAGCTTTGCTTAGGCTGCGCAAAAACTAAACGCGATTCCGAGGTAAAACGTTGAGACGAATAAAATTTAATTGTCCAGGCCGTTAAATGCTCACACTAAGTTGAACTCGGCTTAACGACAGTGTTGTCCGAAGTTAATTAATAATTAAATTCTGCGCGAATGCCGTTAGTTATTGCGGATCCGGAATTATTTCAGGCATAAACTACTTGCAATTTGAATGTAAATAGTTGTTTTCTAATTAAATTAAATTATATAATCTAGATTATGCACGCCCTGAAAAATTAATTTTAAGTTGTTTATAAAGATGAAAAGTGAAGAAATAACATAAAATAAGAAAAATTTATTTAAACCTGCAACAAAAACAAGGAAATGAACAGAAAATCGAACAAAAAATAAAGTAACATCTTTAGACACGTTATCTGTAGCTAAATAAAGCTTTCATGATTGCAAAAATAGTGATTGTAAACGTTTTGTCTGCATTTAATGTGCGTTTTGAGTGAAAGTTGTTTTGCTCTCGCAACTTGGCGCACTGCGTGTGCGAAAAAAGCGCAAAACCAGTGCAGGGTATTGCAAACTGTGAATTTGTCGTCGTTGTCATCGGCGGCGGCATCATACAACTTTAATTCATCAAGATATGCAAGTGCACAACGCAACGCGATATGCCAAAACGATGTCGCATGTCAGACATGACTCTCATTAAGCGCTACGCGTAAAAATATTAAATTACATCAATTTCAACTTCAGCGGTCATTTTATTCACGTTGATGCAATGTGAGCTTATAACAATGAGTATTAGTGTTATGTAGAAGTAATTAAAGACCACTTTTAGGGATTCATTGTGAGTTACTTCAGAAAAAAGAACGATAAACACAGTAAAAGTAACTGTTATTATAAAATAAACAGAAAAATTCCGTGGTGAGTTTCTGCTGAATGAAAATTTCATTTAAGGTTATCTTAATTTTTGTGCATAAAATTTGTTGGAAAGTAGAAATGTAGCCGTAAATTTATGACTCCACAATCCCATATTTCATTTCATCCGCAAGCACTAATGTTCCACATGAAATAATCATGTTTATCGTGTTTCAGCTCACCTCATATATGTCCGTATGTTCGCCATTTGTTATTGCGCATTTTTCACCATTAATGCGTTTGACGTTTGTGCGTTTACAGCGCACCGTGCCGCCAACGCACATCGAAAGCTCACTTACATTCTCTACTTTACTTTACCGCTTGCTGCATTGGTCTTGTTGCCGCAATACGAATTCGGTTTCGGTTTCTGTTTTCATTCATGTTTTGCGCTGCGCGCTCAAAAGTTATGAGGGCTCATTTGTTATTTTATCAAGGCGTACGCATCGACGACGAGAAACTCAAAACCGAATCAGATCGTAAACTGCGGCGCTGTTGTTGTGTTGCCGCAATGAAATTTGAACATTTCGAATAATTGATAATGAAATCGAACAATCAGTGAAAGTCTTTCTTTATAGTACTGGTCAAACAGCAACCGCCCAGCCCGCACGACGCACACAGCGTTGTAATTTTGATAAATTGAAAATGGCCAAAAGGAAAAAATGAAAAATGAAGCGTATCGTGTGTGTAAATAACGCACGCAAAGAGTTTTAATTAGCGATAAGCCAAGATTAATAGATTAACACAAACACGGGCATGAAATACGAATGTAGAGCAGAAAATAAGAAAGGAAAAATCAATTTTAGAAAAATAAAATATTTACGCATTACCAAATGTGTAGAAAATTAATATTTCTTAGTTTTAACATTCAAGAGATAAAATTTTTATAGAAACAATAAAACACGATTTTAATCTATGATTTTTCTCTGCAACTTTCTTCACACCAC